CATACATACACACACACACACACACACATAACATATAGACAGACATAGAGACCTTATAGCTTTTGTTTAAAAAATTTCATCCATGTCTCAGATACACAGTTCAAAGGAATAGATGGATCCAAATTGTGTTTCAGGCAGATGGACTAAGTTAATGTTACCTGCTCAGATGGCCAAAGTTTCAGCTCTAGATAAGAAGGGAGAGTTAAGATAAATAAAAAGGGGTTAGAAGAGGTTTGAGAAAGGGAGCAAAGAAGTAAATCATCTATGTACTGTATCAAAGAGTGTTGAAACACTGAAAAATAGCAGCAATTTGGAATAATGTATCAAGTTGTAATTGGAATTCAAGTACTGGTGTCAAAGTAACAAATGTAGACATTCCAAAAATGATGCTTCCTCGCTGGACTCTAACAAAAATTCATTATGCTCACAGAAAAGTAAAGTGTTTTCTCAGAATTTAATAACAACTAGAAATTGTTGGTGTGGAAACAGGATTGGAACGCATTGAAGAACAAGTTGTGTGCTCTTACCAAAAGTCTATAGAATCTCCAGGAAACTCTTTACACAGGGGGCAAAAGACTCACACTGAATGACTTCCTTTTTTATTATGCTATTAATATTGGGGAGAGGTTTTGAAGGACCTATTTGCATTTTAATAGCAGGTGCAGTATGGATTCTGCCTGTGTCAGCTGCAGACTTTACCCATTGGGAGGGCAGTAGCTGATCTACTGGGAATAAATGTCTAGTGTCTTTAAAGTTAGTTTTAACATCATCAGTGATAGAACAAATAAAAGATGTTGTTGGGTCATTTAATTTGTCCAGTTGGCTATTTTGGTTATTGCTGTCACTGCTGCTATCAAATTCTAGAATGATTTCCCCTTTGTGGGAGAAAGAAATTCCAACATGATACTTTTCTAAAAAGTCTCAGCCTAATATATGAACAGAGGTGGAGGAACTAAGGCGGAAAGGGTGGGTATCTCTCAAAGGGTCTAAACAAAAGGTTCAGAGGCGGGAACTTGTTGAGGTTTATCAGAGATTCCCACTATGTGGACCATGTTAGTACACCAAGGCAGGGCTGCTTCACAGCCGTGGGGTTGCATGCCCAATCTGGAGAGTTGTTTCTCTGAATGGGGAGAGTCCTTGTAGTTCCTTGGAGCCCTGTAAGTTTGACGAGAGAATTAAATGGGGAAACTGAGGGTATAGAGGAGGTGGAGGTAGTGCAGAAGAGAAGGAGGAAGATGGCATCGGAGGTGGGGCCTGAGCATAAGACAAAGAAAATGGGAGAAAGGAAAGAGAGGTCTCAGAAGCCATTTTGTCTTCCCTCAGTTTTTTAATTTAGATACAGTATTTTATAGTGATTGCATTTGAGAGTTTTGTGCACATTTGGAAGCCTCTAGGTACCAGTTAAACATACTATTTGTTTTGCTTAATTTTAGAGCCACAGTCTTCCAATTTGGTTTTAAAAAAATGAGTTTGGGGAGATCTAAATTTCCCCATAATGGCCATTGTAATTCCGGATACTCTTGGTCACTTTGGGCCTCTTAGTTAAAAATGTGCGTGTGTGTATGTGGGGGGCATAGTTCTTAAACATAAATCTGGCCGGGGCTCAAAGGAGAGTTTGCCTCAGAACATTTGGATGACTGGGATCCCATTTCTGAAATTTCCTCTGAAAACTCAAGAAAGTTGCTAGAGTCCTAACTGTGATCTCCAAAGGAATCTAAAAACACAAGAGAGTTGCATGGATTCCCAGCCCTGATTCCAGAAGGAATCTGAAAACCAAAGAAAACTGGAATTTCAGCAAGCCTGAGCCCCAAAAGGCACTGTTGCTACTGCTTCACAAAACAACTGAGTGCTCGCCAAGGATGAAGCCTCGAACCAGGAAGGACAAAGTCTCTCCCAACCCTGAATGAAGTGGGAGAGGTCAGAATGCAAAGGGAGTGGACCTTGGAATCCCAGAGGAGACACACCAGACTCAAAGTAGGCAGTAACTCATGGAAGCAATAAGTGCAAGGGGCTCAGTGCAGATACCTCACTCAGTTCCAGAGGTCGTCGTCTCTCGGGGTTGCCTCCTTTAGCTCTCTTTCTGACACCATATATGTCAACTTAAAAAGTAAATCAGGGGCTGGCCCCGTGGCCGAGTGGTTAAGTTCGCGCGTTCCGCTGCAGGCGGCCCAGTGTTTCGTTGGTTCGAATCCTGGGCGCGGACATGGCACTGCTCATCAGACCACGCTGAGGCGGCGTCCCACATGCCACAACTAGAAGAACCCACAACGAAGAATATACAACTATGTACCGGGGGGCTTTGGGGAGAAAAAGGAAATAATAAAATCTTTAAGAAAAAAAAAAAAAAAAAAAGTAAATCAGACAGTCGTTTTATTTGCAAAACAAGTGTATTCTGAAAGAGCCAAAGAACTGCAGTTCAGGACGTGCATGCTATTGCCACTGAAGCAAGATGAGTTCACTGCCTGGTGAGTTAAAATCAGACTCTCCACCCGAAGCAGTTGTCACACAAAATAAAGTATATTTGCAGCAAACAGGCGACTACGCAGACTCATTTCCAAAGTTGGGACTCCCTGAACAAAGGGAAGCAGGTCCTTTTGTTTCAGGAGGGAATGAATATTTAAAATGGAAGTTTCGTCATCACATGTAGAGGCGGGTATCAGCTGGTGCAGGCACAGTCTGAAAACATGCTCTCACATAAATCATGTGTTATGCTACTAAGACCTAGGCTCCTCCTAGGCTGGAGATTACAGTACTGAGATGAGGAAGAGGGCATTTTCTGGTCATCTTCAGGTCATCTGCACAGGTGCTGCCCTTGCAGTGGGGCTTGATCTGGTTCAGGCTGGTTGATGCTGACATTGCTCTGAAAAAACCTTGAGGGAGTGTTAAGCTCCTTTAAACTTCCTTTGAGTTACTTAGGGAATGCACTGGTGACACTATGGCAGACCACAGGCAAATCCAGCAAGCAAAAGAGGGGAATGTTATTTTACAGAGAAAAGGGAGGTAGTTGGGAGGGCTTGTTTTGAAAGGAAGTCCATTGCAAGAACGCAGGAGTTCAGGGTGATGACAGGTTCTCATTGGCTTAGTTGCTGGGGTAGTCAATTTCCTCCAGGAAATGCAATGTGCATCTTTCCTGTTGAGGCCTCTAATTTACCATTCTTTCCGGTTGACCATTCTTCTTGTTGGGTCTTGTTGACAATCCTTCCTGTAACTGCCCTTCAGTGGTACTGTGTGGGAGCGCCCCCTTCTGGCCTTTTAAATAAAGTTTCCTTTTATTAATTTTCACCATATAGATCCTTAGTGTTATGTGTGTGCTGGCATATGAAGAAGATTCCTGAAAACGAAAATTAGGGAAAGAAAACTAGACACCAAATAGTCTCCTACCCCAAGGTTTTAGCGACTTCATTGGTATTTTTTGGAGTCTACAAACCTTTGAAGACTCCAAGAATTTCTGGTTGGAGTGGTAGGGAAGAGAATTGGGGAAAGAAAAGGGCCTCATTTCCTAAGGCCCTTCTCAGAAGCTTGTGCTTTCTTTGTGGACTCACGTAGTATTTATGACCTTATGACACTCCCCTATGCTGCTGGGGGAAATGTAGGTGGTTAGAACCTCTTCATGAGTGTTTGGGCAATATCTATGCAAATAAAAAAGCGCATATGTGCACAATGAAGTTTGTATATTCATGCCGGTATTGTTCTACAAGCAAATTCATGGACACTAAATGTCCATCAAGGGGATCACTTGAATAAATGATTTTAGATCCATCAAGAAGAATGAGACACCTGCATATACTGATAAGAAATGATTTCTTACATGTGTTTAATACAGACAGCAAGTTATATAAGAAGTGCTACTGTTTTTCAGAGGAAAGAGGATAGACAAACATGTATCTACCTTTCCCAAGCTGCTTATTTACACTTACACTATCACTGGAAGGCCACATAAGAAATTTAATAATATTTTTTGGAAGAGGACTTTCGGGACATGAGGAAAGGAAATTAACTTTTTACTCATTTTTTTTTGGTACTTTCTACATATGTTACCAAGTACATGTGTTACTTTTTAAAAAAGATTTGTTTTGAAACTTTTAATTTTGAGATAATTGTAAATTCACAAGAGCTTGCTTTTTTAAACAAATTTCTAGCTGCCGAATCACCTCCAAAACCCTCCCCAGCCCACAGCCCTTCTCCAGGGCCTGGCTGGCACTGGCTGCTCACCATCCGTTTAAGGTAGGGGTGTGTAGGGTGGGGAATAATCCAATGTAGGGGACACAGGTAGACACTGACTTTTTACTCTGTATCTTTCATATTTTTTTGCATATATAATCATGTGCAAATAGTATCTTTTAAAAACAAAGAATTTATTTAAATAGTTCCCAGAGGCTGGCCCTGGCATAGTGGTTAAGTTCAACCGCTCAGCTTTGGCTGCCCCGAGTGAGTTTGCAGTTCCCATCCCAGGCACGGAGCTACACACTGCTCATCAAGCCATGCTGTGACCGTCCCACATACCAAATAGGGGAAGACTGGCACAGATGTTAGCTCAGGGCATATCTTCCTCACCAAGCAAACAAATCTCCAGAGATGCCTCAACACCTTTTCCCCGCTCCCTTGCTCTGACCCCACAAACCCCCAGCCCTTTACCCAGGACAGGCTCACCAGCTGGTCCTTCTCCAGTAAGAAGCTGAAGGCCTTCTGCGCTAAGTGAGGAAGCTGTGGGGTGGGGAGCAACCCTAGAAAAAAGGTGTTTTACTGACGGGAAACAAATTTAGAAGTATAGCGTTGGTTTCCGTCTTCGATTAAATTTGGGACATAAATATATCTACCAAGCAGTAGGTAAGGGGGAAACACGGATCCTTAAAACCTCAGAATGTTTAACAGTGAAGGAAATTTAAAGCGGAATCACTACTGTTTGAAAAGGCAACAAACGGGCACGCGCTGCATGCCGGGGTTTGTAGTCCCTTCCGGGTGGCCTACAGTGCTGTTGCGCGGGAGCGAGGCCTCTACCGAGCGCATGCGTGCGCTGACGGCGGCAGGACTGAGTGTTCCCGGGCCGCGGCGGCTGCGCTGGTGTCCGGGAGTTAGGCATGGCGGTCCCCGCGGCGGCAATGGGGCCCTCGACCCTGGGCCAGAGCGGTCCCGGCTCCATGGCCTCCTGGTGCTCAGTGACCAGCGGCCCGACGCGCTACGTGCTTGGGATGCAGGAGCTGTTCCGGGGCCACAGCAAGACACGCGAGTTCCCGGCGCACAGCGCCAAGGTGCACTCGGTGGCCTGGAGCTGCGACGGACGTCGCCTGGCCTCGGGGTCCTTCGACAAGACGGCTAGCGTCTTCTTGCTGGAGAAGGACCGGTTGGTGAGCTGCCAGGGCCCGGCCCGGGCCAGGGACAGAGGGCTGTGGTGAAGCGAGGTGTAGTGGTGAGGAGAGAATGGCGGTGAGGGGGGCGGAGCGGATGAAAAGAAGGGAGGAGGCGAGGGGAGGGGTGAGGAGGGGGTGTGGTGCGAGGAGGAGGAGTGTGGGGTGTCGAGGGAGGGTGAACGCGCTGCGGTGGTAAGGGGTGAGGAAGCAGTGTGGTGGAGAGGGAGACAGTGATGGGAAGGGGGAGGTAGGGGTGTGTAGGGAGCACGTAGTAAGGGGGGGTGAAGATGATGGGGAGTGGAGGTGAGGAGAGAGTGAGGACTGGTGGTGAGGAGGGGGGTGGGCCTGGGGTGAGGTGGGGGTGTGGGGGAGTGGTAGGAAGGAAGTGTATGGTGGTGAGAAGGGCCCCTTTGAAAATGATAGGGCCTCCTGTGGGGATGAGCAAGTGGGTTGGGAACCTTGGTAGCAGAGTGAAAGTGGAAAACCAGAAAGAAGGAGGAGGGCTAGGGAGGGCAAGGAGTAAGGGCATTGATGTGGGACACAGCCTCTGAACAGTTCAGAGTGATTGAGGAGGAAGAGGGGGTGGGTATTGGGAAGAGCTTTGGGGAAGAGGCTTGGAAGGACTGGACTCTTTTTTAATTATCCAGATTTTTCTTGGTCACAAGATACCTTGGTTTGAATAAGGTTAAGTTACATACGGAAGCAGGTACATATGTGTGAAGTGACATTTGGATTCTGTTCTTTCAGGTCAAAGAAAACAATTATCGGGGACATGGGGATAGTGTGGACCAGCTTTGTTGGCATCCAAGCAATCCCGACCTCTTTGTTACTGCATCTGGAGACAAAACCATTCGCATCTGGGATGTGAGGACGACCAAATGCATTGCCACTGTGAACACTAAAGGTGACTTCAGAGAGGGGGCAAAAGGAAGATAAGCTACTTATATTCATTCAACAAGCATTTTTCAAATATCTTTTCTGTGCGTGGTCCTGTGTTAGGTGTGGGACGTCCTGAGCTGAATAAGACAGTTTCCAGCTCCAAAGACCTCATGGTTTAGTGCAGGGAAAGAGGCATATGCATTAAAAAAAATTAGCATAGTATGACATGGTCTTATAGTGGAGATGTTGATAAGGGAGATACCCAGAATGGAAACACTTGTCTGCCTGGAGGAGGCAGTGAAGGCCTCACGGAGCGAAAGTGGTCAGGGTGCAGTGGGTAATGGGGAGGGAGGCACTTCTAGGAGGAAACAGCACTTGCAAAGGCATGGAGAACCTAGGAAACTGCTGATAGGCTAGAGTGGCTGATCTTGGACTGAATGGTCTTGATATCTGGGAGAAAACGACCTGGAAGTTGTACAGTACATTTATAGACTATTCTCCACCTGGTATTGTCTTATAAACCTTGAGGCTATTTATCGTATTCTATTGACTAAGATGTCATTGATTATAAGATGCGCCAATATTTTATATGCTGTTAGGAAGGAAAATAAAGCTTCCGGATAGCTGTGTACTCCTCAAATTTTGAGATGCATCCTGATGCATTTTCAGATGCATCATGGATAGTGAAATGTGGAAAAATATGTATTTTAGAATTGATAAGGCTGATGAAATTTTTAATTGATGTGTTCAGTGTGGGCCACTGGACTTGGTTGATAAGACTTGTACCTGAAAGTGGAATGATGTAGTGCTTTGCTTAAGTATGCAAAAGGTGATGGGTGCATAATTTAGGTGGCACTTGGATGACCATTAGAAACTGGTTATATATATGTTTTAATGTCTACTAGGAAAAAAGAGCTAGCTCATAGAATTTATTGCTAAATTGAAGCTAAAATTTAAGTAAAAAGTTTTTTTGAGTCAATGTTAAGAAAAATCTTGAATAAAGAAAAGTATAGCTGTTACGTGGAGGGGAAAAAAATTGTGAAGGTGGCATGTAAATTACTGGAGTTTGCGAAATGCTGGTATAAGAGAGAATAAGAGGCTTTAGAGTCAAATCTGAGTTTAAGATCTTGGCTCTGTTACTTCGTACCTTTGACACTGGCTGATGTCTCTTATCTTGCATCTCTTCATCTGTAAAATGAGGATAATGAAGTGTCCCTTAGAGAAATAAGTGAGGACCAAATGGGGAGATTTGTAGATGAATGCCCTGGACTCATAGTTATGATCTGCAAGTGGTAGTTCTCTCCCGTTGACCAGGACCTTAATGAATGAGCTCTGGAGATAGCTCTGGTCTGTCTAGGCTAACAAACTTCGGGAGGATTATGGGCAAACGGTATTTTCTGATTATGTCTGGGTTCCCAGGGGAGAACATTAATATCTGCTGGAGTCCCGACGGGCAGACCATTGCTGTAGGCAACAAGGATGATGTGGTGACCTTTATTGATGCCAAAACACACCGTTCCAAAGCAGAGGAGCAGTTCAAGTTTGAGGTCAATGAAATCTCCTGGAACAATGACAATAACATGTTCTTCCTGACAAATGGCAACGGTTGTATCAACATCCTCAGGTAAGGGGGTTCTAGCTTAGGGGACTGTCATGTCTCGCACTGGGTGCTGTGGTGGATCTAGTGATGAAGTAGATGTGAGTCTATCCTGAAGGAGCCTAAAGGACAGATAGTAATAAAGAATTCTAACCTATATTAAGTATCTTTGAGCCAGGCACCTTATATTTTACTGAGTCCTCACAGAAATTCCAGGGTGTTGATGGTGTGTTTCCCATTTGGCAGATGAGGATCTGGGATTCAGAGAGGTTAAGTCACTAGTCAGCTAGTGAGTGCTAGAATTGGATGCACCTTGAATTATGGCTAATTCATACTTTTAAAGTCTCAGTTAAAATATCCCTTCCCCTCCAGGGAGGCCGTCTTCAGCACCTCCCTCCCCCAAGGTTAGAGGCAGGTTAGAAGCTTATTTTATGTACTTTCTGTTGGTGGCATTTCTCCTTCTACATTGTAACTGCATGTTTACTTGTCTGTATCTTGCCTTAGACTATACATTCCATGAGAGTAGGGACTGTATTTAACTTGTCTACTGTTGAATCCTCAGGGCCTAGCCCAGTGCCTGCTACACAAAGTAAGGATCTCAGTAAATATTTGTTTTTTCGATGAACAAAATTGTGGAATGAATATCAGGTCTGTCCACTTGTGGTCTTTCTACCATCCTAGGTGAGCAATGGGTTCTGTGATAGAGGGCCTGGGAGTTTGCTGTGGAATTCTAAGGAAAGAAACATCGTATTGGGGGACGGGGATTGAGTGAGCCAGCTTCTGAGCTTGACCCTGAAAGATGAGTAGAATTTTAAGAATCACTAAAAGGGCAAAACAGGTGTGAAGGAGCATGACTTATTTGGAGAGTAGTTGGTATGGTTGCTGGGAGTGGTGGCAGGTAAAGTATCTGAAGAGAGGGCCTGAAAATGGGAAGATAAAGTTGAAATATAATTTGGGACCAGATTATAAAAGGCCTGAAATTCTATGCTAAGCAACTTGAATTTTATCCAGTAATTTTGCTAGTGTATGTCTTCGTGTTGGTTAGTCTGGGTTCATATTCCCAGATATGTGGTGTGTCCTTTCAGTATGTTGTTTGAAATCTTTTTTTGTTTCAGGAAAGTTTTCTTGAATTACAGTTTTTGATATTTGTTCTGTCATCTTTGGTTTTCTTTCTCAGTGTCTCCTATTATCGTCTTAACACCTCAGTCCTCTTCCCACAGTTTGATTGCTGCCTGTCTTGTTTCTCAGCTACCCAGAGCTGAAGCCTGTGCAGTCCATCAACGCCCATCCTTCCAACTGCATCTGTATCAAGTTTGACCCCATGGGGAAGTACTTTGCCACAGGAAGTGCGGACGCTTTGGTCAGCCTCTGGGATGTGGATGAGTTAGTGTGTGTTCGGTGCTTTTCCAGGTAAGTGACTCTGCCAGCACTTTTCTTGTTGGATAAATTAGTTGTACTTCATGTGGGTGAAATTGTGCCCTCCTCTTGTTGGGTTATTCTAATGTCTGCTCTGTCTCTTCTGTATCATAGGCTGGATTGGCCTGTGAGGACCCTCAGTTTTAGCCATGATGGGAAAATGCTGGCATCGGCATCAGAAGATCATTTTATTGACATTGCTGAAGTAGAGACAGGTAACTAAAACCCTCGCTGCCTTAAGGAGAATCTTCTGTCTTTCACCTCTGGCCATCAGGACTTCTTTTGTCATGTATTTCATCTCTGCACATCACTAATAAACCAGTATTATCATAAATGAATTTGTCTCTTTAAGACAAATTTGTTTATTAGACTGTTATAGTCAGGTATGAAGGAGCAAAGAGTTAGGAAAGAAGGGGACAAGTCTGAAAGAAAGTGATTTAGGAAAATGTTTTACATTTTATTAACTCTTAATTCTTCTATTGTAATGAAAAATTTAAAATACAGATAGTAGGAGGAAGAAAAGAGCATCACCTGTGGTCCCACCATCTAACTGCAACCTCTTCAAGTGTTTGTTCTGGTATATTTCTATCTTTTATCTGTATGTGAACTTAAAAAGATGTATTTTTTTTTTCATAATTTAAAGAATTATCAAAGTAGATGTGATTTGCTTTAAAAACAACAAAAGAACTTGAATATAGAAAAATGGGAGGAGAGTATGCATTTTACAAAAGAATTTCCTCATGTATTTTTTAATGTAGCTTTATTGTTTTAGGAAATACATGGTACTTTAGTAAAAGAATTCCAACTCTATAGAAAATGTCAAAGAAGAAAGTAAAAAAACTTGAAATGCCACAATTTAAAGAGTGCCACTGTTGGTGACATTGTGGTGAGTGTTGTCTAGCCATCTGGACAGACGTGCAGCTCCTTATGTGACCCTGGTTCATGTTATGCAGGGGTACTCTCCCGCTGCTCTGGGACCCGCCCGCCTCATGGGCAGAATGATACAGCTTCTTACATGGCGATGGCTACTGAGCTCTACTGCCGCTTGTAATGGGGTTTAGAATTCCATTGAATATGCTAAGTATATCCTTGACTATATGTCAGTACATACTTAAGTCGCCCAACTATTAGGTGGCATCTAATCTTTGCACCATTATAAATAATGCTGTGAATATCCCTTATGTATTTCATTTTACTTATGTGGTTATCCTTTTGGGTAAACCATCGAAGTGGGATTACTGAGTCTAAGGTGTTCACATTTTGTGAAGGACTAAACCACCTCACAGAAAGGTTATTGCAGTGTTTGCTCTTAGCAGCATGCATGCACGTGCATGTTTTTCCCAGGCTGTCTTTGTGCAAGTTTCTTTTAATTATCTACCTTACCTAATACATGTAAAATATGATTTAATTCACATATAATCTTTTAGGAATATATAAAATATGGCTGTATTATTTTTTTTAATGGTTTAGACAAATACTTTTAACATGTCGGTTTGTTGGGTTTGTTTTTCATTTTTTCTATAACCCAGGTTAAAAATTAAAAGCAAGATGATTATCAAAGTAAAGTACAATTGTATATTTACAGCATTGTTTTATGCATCGATGGGAAACAGTGTAAATTTTCGTTATGATGGACTAATTAAATAAGTGGTGGTACAGTCATGTTACAGTGTGCCAAGAGAAAGACAGTTTTCTGTGCACTGATGTGGAAGATGTGCAAGGCATGCTACTGAAAGAGCAAAGCAGGTGGCCAGTCAGTGCGTGTGGTGTGTTTCCATTTAGGGAAAGAAACCAAAGCTAACTCGGTAGAAAAACATTTAGAAGAACTCATATCAGACTCATGAGATTGGAGGAAGACTACAATAAGGAAAAGGATAAATGTAGATTTAAATTATTAATTATTATGGAAATCACTTAAACAAAATAAAAAATTTAGTTCCTCAGTCACCATAGGCACATTTCAAGGAGTCAGTAGCCACATGTGGCTATGGGACATGTATTGGACATTGCAAACATAGGACCTTTCCATCACAGAAGTTTCTGTTGTGCAGTGCTGTCTGTACCCTGTACTGTTTGAATTTTATGCAGTATGTCTTCATAGATTAGTTTGTAAAATAAGAGTAATACATGCTCATTATAGAATATCTGGAAAATGCTAACAAATATAAAGGAGAAATTAACAGTCATACATAGGTCTATAATTTAGAGATAACCATTGCTAACATTTAGTGTGTTTCCTTCTAGTCTTTTTTTCCTCCTATATATCTATTTTTTGTGTTGTTGGAATCATACATTAGATGCAGTTTTGTATCCTACATTTTTTTAATGGGTAAATGTAAAACAAAGTGAGAATTAATTTTAATTTTATTCCTGATAGCATATATAATAGAACCGCATTTTAATACAGTCCACTTGATTTTAAGCTTTTCAGACACACCGCAACAGTGTATTGGAACTTCGATGGTCTGGAATAGTAATGTCAGTCTCACACTGTCAGCACCTTATTTATCGTTCAGAGATTAAACTTTCTAATAAGTGATCAAGATATTAAAGTTTATGAAGCCACATGGTTATTTGGGAAACGTTTTAGAAGGCCTCGTCATGTCTACTCTGGTTTTCTCGAACTGTGTCTGTTTCTTTATCTTTACCAATCCCATAGCAAATGACATGGAGTTAAAGGCCTCAAGAGAAACGAAAGAGGAGTAACAGACGCAAACCATTCTTTGTGTCTGTAACTTAGAAATTTGCTCAGACAGGTAGCTGTAGACTGCCAGATCCCAGCATCATGAAGAGTGGTTAACTGTCTCTGAAGTAGAATTACTTAAAGAAAACCTCTCTCTCTCTATATATACACACAAACGTGCATATGTATATGAATGTATGTATTTTTAAACGGCTTTATTGAAATATAATTCACATACCATGTAGTTGACCAGTTTTAAGTGTATCATTCAGTGTATCCTGCATTTTTAAATTGGTATCACACTGTAAATGTTTTACTACATTAATCTTAACCCTAAGGTTGAAAAAAGGTTAAGCAGGACTAAAGGAATAACAGCTTTGGGAAAATCATGTTTGATTTCAACAAGTAGAAGGAGTAAGATTTTGGGGAAAAGAAACCTATTTGCAAAGCATCGTGGTTTAGCAGAAAGATCTGTGGCTTTGGAAACAGACTAATTTCATATGTTACCTGCTTCTCCCTTGAGGTGTGACTTAACTGTTAAGTTATCTGTTTCTATAAAATGGGGTTTAAAATTATTACCTTCCTTGCTGAGTTGTCATTATATTTTATTGAAATAAAGTATAGTTCATCTGATTCATAAGGGGTGCTCAACAAAGAGTAAGTCCTGTTACTCTTTTTCCAGGGAGTAAAGAATAGGGGTTCAGAGCATAGGCTTTTAAGTTAAGTTAACCTGCCTGTGTTCAGATCCTGCTTTGCCACCTATGGGCTTGTGACCTGTTTGTGCCTCAGTTTCCTCCTCCGTAAAATGGGGTAATGATTGTACTATCTCATGGGGTTATTAAGTGGATTAAACAAGTTAATATAGGTAAGTATTTAATGAGTGTGGTCTCTTATTAACATATTGATTGGTTTCTCTATGTTGATTTTTATAGGTGACAAGCTATGGGAGGTGCAGTGTGAGTCCCCAACCTTCACCGTGGCTTGGCACCCCAAAAGACCTCTGCTGGCATTTGCTTGTGATGACAAAGATGGCAAATATGACAGCAGTCGGGAAGCAGGAACTGTGAAGCTGTTTGGGCTTCCTAACGATTCCTGATAGGAGGACCTGACGTAGGGAGGAGGCCCTGGCAGCGGCTTTCTGTTGTGTAATTAGTTTGGTCTGTTCTCTTGGGGTTTGTGACACCTAAAGTATTTGTGAATTGGTATAAATTATGAAAGTCTTTGGTCAGGTGCCCATTCCAGTTCCCTTCCCATTATGTTAGCTGTTCCGCTTCTTACCTCCCGGATGAGGGCTTGCCAGTGCAGGTGAGGGCACTAGCACACCTTATGCTCTGGGGACCTGCTGTCTTCCTGCTTTTGGGTGGATAGTGGACTTTGTTGGACTTTCTTCTGCTTAAACAATACTGAGTTTGGAGGGGTGGGTGAGGAAGGGTGAGATGGGGATGGAGATTTTTTATAATTAAAAAAGAAATATGAGCCAGCCTTGATGGCCTAGTGGTTCAAGTTTGGTGCTCTCATTGCTTTGGTGGCCCGGGTTCCATTCCCAGTTGTGGAACCACACCTCTCATCTGTCAGTAGCCATGCTGTGGCGGCAGCTCACATAGAACTGGACGGGCCTACAACAAGAATATATAACTATGCACTGGGGCTTTGGGGAGAAGAAAAAGAAAAAGAGGAAGATTGGCAACCGATGTTAGCTCAGGGTGAGTCTTCCCCAGAAAAAAAACAAAAAAGAAATATATATAATTGTGAGACTTGAGCATTTAATAAAACTTTTTTAGAATAAGACTTTTAGAACTTTTAAAATTATGGTATTATCACCTGATTATATTATTACAGAGTGGTATAGTTTTGCATTTTAAAAAAATCTCAAATAGAGTTTAAAGGTTGTAATTCCATCACTTAATGTCTTAACCAAGAACTCTAAAATGCAGGGACAGAACATGAAGTGCATGGACAATAGCAATCCTTTATATGTTGTGTATGTGTTTGTGTTCTTGGCCTCCTTCTTCAAAGGATTTGTAGATAAATTTATAAACACTGAGAAAAGTAGTAAAATATAAATGAGAAATACAAAATCAGGATAAGACATAAATTAGAATAGAAAGTCAAGATGGGGGAAATTAAAACAGAAATATGTAAAGAATAAGGACCTAATAGAATGATGGGACTAAAATTTTGGCAAAGTGAAGAAGGATATAGTCAGCCAATTCTTGCTAAAAAGAAAAGCACGTGCCAGCTCCTCAGGGAAAGCAGAGCTTTTGTTAGCTCTTACCTCCAAAAGGAATAGCTTGCATAGGGCATTTTGCCTGTGAGCAATGTCTTCATTTTCATTGTATTTTAATTTATTTCAGCATTAAAAATAAAGAAATAGATCTCAGTAAGTGATGTTTGTAGAAAATTTTGGAAAAAGCAGATAAGCAAAAAGAAAAATATTCCTAGCACCAAGAGATAACTACTCTTAGCATTTTTGTGAATATCCTTCTAGGAGTTTTCCTATGCTCATATTTATAGATAAAAACATGTTTATGTATATAAAAATCTTGAAGGCTAGACAAATCAAGTATGACAAGATAAAGCATGTAAGGTGCTCAGCACCATATTGGGCAGTATTATAAATACTCACTAAGTCTTAATAGATGTTTTTAGTTGTTGGACATTCCCTATGTGTCTGGTACTGTAATGAGCAGTTTTCATCAGCTAACTCAATTTTTGCAACAGCCTTCTGAGGCTGGGTTTTATCACCATTTTACTACCTCAGGGAGTTTAAGTTACAGTGTTACTCATTAAGTGGCAGTATTCAGATCTGGGTTTGTTTAAAGGCCCATACACCTTCTATTGCAATGGTTGTTCTGTTTCTATTTGCCATTCCTGTTTTACAGATGAGCAGACCTTGGCTCTGAGCAGTTGACTCTTGGCCCAGGTTACTGCATGATCAGGTTACTGTGTGATCGATTGAACCCAGTCTTCAGGCTCAGTAGTGTTTCCTTCAGTTCAGTCCCCAGAACAGCCTCTGCCTCCAATTGCCCTGAAGAATGGTCTTTTCAGTGGCAAACCAACTTGCCACCTCATTATGTCAGAAGTTCAGTGTTGTTCATGTCCCTGGGAGTAAACTTTGGTGCACTGTTTCTTGTTTTTGCAATTATCTGTCATTCCTGTGGTTGCTGCTGTGTTTCTTTAGCATTAGAACCAGATGTCAAGATTTTGGTCTAGATCTTTGATATTTGATTGATTCCCTCCTCTTCCATCCATGTGGATTTTTTCCTCTGGGTTTGTGTAAAGTAGCGATCCACGCCACCTGTCACTTAAACAAGAAGAGATTTGTTGCTTTCACCTATGGGGCTGCTTGAGCAATAGGAAAACGTAGCCATGAGGAACAAGTTCCAGCTTGTGACAAGCCTCATGGACTGTCAAGGTCTTACTGACAACATCCTCTGTGTGCCTTGGCTTCATAGTCCTAGAGGGGCTCAGAAGTCTGGTCCCTCCTGGAGAAATGACATAATTTGTGCCAGACCTGGGACCCCTATGGTTTGAGTGAGTCTCCTAGTTCAGAAAGGAAGGATGCCATTCAGAATCACACCTGGCCGTTGATTATTCAGCCAGTCCAGGCGTATTATATAGTTACTGCTCCAGACACTAGCAAACCAGAAGTGGGTGGGGAGGTCTGCTCTGAGCTAGACTTTAGTTGGCAGAGAAAGTCTGGGATTTGTTGTGCCAATGACCCATTGCTGTGTTGACTGGAATTACAAGTCAAACTAAGAAATAGGTGGTTAATATTATGGTATTTTTTGCTGAGATTCTGGACTCTGGGATGAAATCAGGCGAGAATGAAACCTGCCAAATGTTAAGCTTGTGTGAGGTGTGTGTGTGTGCTTTGAGGATTGTTCCCTTCACCCTAAGCTGTGTTAGGGTAAGGCTGTGCAGCAGGGGGCGAGGGGTGGGGAGAGTTCCTGACAGAGTGTCTTGGAAAGCTAGAGCGGAGGTCCTGGCCAGAGGCAGTTAGACCAAGGAGCAGGCTAAGTCAAAAGCAGGCTATGCTTTCCACATCAGGAGACTGAGGTGTGGAGTAGCAGAAGAGGAATCAGGAAGAGGCCGATTCTGGAGGTCCCAGAGCAAAGTGTGTGTATCTGTGTGTTCGAGCTGGTAGGGGTGTGACATGTGGTCCGGCTCAGTTTAGAATGGCTGCTGGGGGGCCAGGGTGGATGGTGGCCAGCCCTCTGGCCGAAGTGATTAAGTTCATGTGCTCTTGTTTGGTGGTTTGGGCCAGTTCGGATCCTGGATGCAGACCTGTGCACTGCTCATGAAGTCATGCTGCGGCAGCGTCCCACATAGAACAACTAGAATGACCTACAACTAGGATATACAACTATGTATTGGGGATTTGGGGAGGAAAAAACAGGAAGAGGAAGATTGGCAACAGATGTTAGCTCAGGGCCAGTCTTCCTCACCAATAACTATACTTTAACAAAGAAATGAAAAATGACCAGGAGTGGGGTGGATACACCCTTAAGCCCTTTTCTGTTCAAAGGTATATTTTACTCCCTAAGGATTTTAGTCATAAATGGGACCATGAAATGTATACCTTCTTGGGAAGGAAAAAAGCCTGTAGACAGAATTAAAAGATAAGCCCTATCTTTAAGGAGAGAAGTAGAGATCATATATATAGAAGTGCATTGCACACTCGGAAGTACCTATGTGTAGGTAAGATATTCTCTCCCTCTGACACTGTGGTGCAGTGGACATAAGGCTGGCTTCATACTTGAGCAGAACCAGATTTGAGTCCAGGCTCCAGCAATGATTGATCTAACCCACAGTTCTCATCCATAAAGTGGGGATGATGAATCCTCTTCTGCTTGGGTTGTTGGGAGAATTAACGAGATAAAGTATTTGTGAAGTGTCTAGCACAACAACTGGCACACAGAAGATGCTTAATACGTCCTTTCCCCGTGAGGAGGAGCAGCTTCTAAGGAGAACATGGGCTGGCTGCAGAGACATGTCATCAGTCTGTCAGCTGTCTTGGTTCTAAACGCCAGAGCTGAGCGAGCCCCGTTAATCATTCCAGGAGTAGGTACTGTGAAGGGAGGAGGCTCATCCATCACATCCTGGGCATGGTGGGAGGTTCAGAGGAGAAATATTAGATCTGCTTTCTGCTTGTGGTCTGTTTGGGCCCATGATGGATATGTGTGCATGTGAACAGCGGAGCTTAAGTCAGAGCTGTGCGTACCAGTGGGGGAAATAGGAGTAGGAGGAGGGTAAAGCTCTTGTTAGCTGAGGTTTCTAGAAAGGATTGGATGTAGAGGAGATGGGCTCAGTGCAAGTCTTGAGTCTAGAGGATGTGACTACAGGCCAGGGGACATGTGAGAAGGGGTGCTGCAGCTTGGAGCAAAGCCGAGGTGGTGGCAGTGTCCTGGGATGTGGAGAAGATGGTCAGGTGGAATATGAGATGGCGTTGGGGAGAAAAGAGGGAGGGTGTCAGGCCCTGGGTGATGTCAGTTTGGGCTGATTGGTAGTGTGGCCTGGTGAGTAGGGAGGTGGATACACGGGTTCAAATCCTTATTCTCCCGTCACTAGTCGGGAGACTGGTCAAATTACTTCATCTCCATGAGCTGCAGTTTACTTAACTCTACCATGTCCATAATGACAGTTCAGCTTATGAGGCTTAAATGAATTGGCATATGTTAAATGCCTGCCACATCATGGATGTTCAATGAGTGGCTATTATTGTTACGCAGGTGTTAAGAGGATATCTATGTGCAAGATAAACCCTACCTTAGGAAGCTTTCCCTGTCTCCTAAGTTTACCACATTTTGTGCAAAGAAGGGTGAGTGGGGTGGGGTGGGATTTGGAGAAAATGAATATTTAACACTTATTTTTTAATACTTATTTATAGAGCTAAGTCCCTCTTAACATGAGGGACACTAAATGAGAAGTATTCAGCCCATGATTGCAAATCTGGTAGCAGTTTACATGTTTGAAATTGTTGCTGACATGGAGCCACAAGCTGTTGAACTTCAAGTCATCCAGCATCTCAGTATTTCACCCCTTAGGGGAAGCAGGCAGAGTGTGAAAACATGCCCCCTCCCCACCCCACAACCAGCAGTGTCATAGCAACAAAGTCACAACTTGCCCTGGCTGGAATGCCATCAGGGATCTCTGGGGCCACCATGGATTGGCCAAGAACAAGTTGTTCGACCCCCATTTCCTTTTATCTTCTTGGTTAGGTTACTAGAATACAGGTCAGGCAATGGTGCAGATATAGCAAGGAATCTCAGAACATCTCGGGATGTCATTGGGGACCAACGGAGATCTGGGCTGGGCACAGGCCGATTTGTACCTGGTCATCAACTGTAGTGAGAGTGGAATTAAAGTCAACTTGGAGAAAAGTTTCTTCCCTGAAATGAGATATCACTGTGGAATTCAGATTGCAGATGATCAGGCCTGAGATTATTGAACGTTTGTGATGGACTGCATCTCCAAGATGGCGGCT